ATCTACAACCCACCTCAGCCACCACTGCCTTGTGGGCACCCCTGTGTGTTGGATGTGTGTGCATAGATGCTTCTGTCCCTGGTAGTCTGTCTTTAAACAGTGAACAGAGGAGTCTTCCTCTTCCTCCTTCCTCCCTTCCTCCTCCCTATCCTCTTCTTTTTCAGACCATTTGAAGAGCTATGCCACTAAGCCACTGTAACATAGCAAAAACTATATTACCTACTTCATGATTGAATTTTATGTAAAGAAAAAAGAAATCTTAAATCAAGTATACAGATTTGACAAACATTTCTATTACTTTATGCTACTTAAAACTCTAGCAGCTATGGATGTCATTTCTGTATTGAAATAATACCCTGCATTAGCCTAACTCCTTTACTGTCATTGTTTCTCTGCCTCTGTAGCTACCTGAGAACTGTCCCATGCCGGGCCTCATTCTATCTAGAATGATTCCAGCACAGGCATGATCATGAGAGGAGTGGCCGTGAGTCTCCTCACATGTGTGTGTTTCTCCTAAAATATGTGTCAGTCTGGGTTTGTTCATTATTTTAATAGGATGTTTATATCATAAAATTTGGATATCAAATACTGTTTTTCATGTTTCTACAGTGTTGGGGTTCAAACCCAGGACTTTACACATCTCAAACAACCACTTATACTGAGCTACAACCCCAGCCCTGGGCTATTCTAGTCAGGTTCTCTTCTGTGTGCTGGGGCAGACTGAAACACACAGTCTTCTTGCTGCTGCCTCTCTCTCAGGCGCTGGGGAGGTAGATGGGAGTCACTATGCCAACTGCTGGCTCATTCTGCAGAGGGACCAGCAATGAGAACTTCCTTCAGCATTTGTCAGAATCAAGATGTCATTCTCCCTCTGTGTAACCTTGTGTGGATTTTGACAGGGAAGTATACAGCCCATATGCCACTTGAAGCCTTTTCCAAAGAGCAGGGTTACCACTTGAAAATTAGAGTCCTATACAGTATTTGCTCAGCTCAACTCTTAGGTAGTTGGGAATCATAATCTACAGAAGCAATCGCTATTTCAATTTGAACTGACCCAATTCAAAAGCAAGGAGAAGCATTAAGGTTACTGTGCTATTTGTGATGGGAGGCTACTTTCAATAAGGGCTTGCATAGAATATTGTGAGTGTAGCTAGCTTTCATTTAAATTTCTATAGACAGACAAATTTAAGTAATTTAGCTCAAATGGGATGCCTTAGGAGCTGGAGATACGGCTCCGTGGTTAAGAGCACCTGCTGTTCTTCCAGAGGACCTGGATTCAGTTCCCAGCACGCCTGGCAGCTCACAACTCCCTGTTAACATCAGTCATGAGTATCTGGTGCCCTCTTCTGGCCTCCATAGGCACCAGGTGCACTTACATACTTGCAAGTAAAGAGGCATTACACTTAAAATAACAATAAGGTGTTTTTCAAAAAAGGATTCCTTGTATTTGCTAACAATGTTTTAGAAAGATAAAAGATTAGAGTTACTATTTTATAAAACTGATGTTAAGAAATAATGCACATATCTTGAGCTTAACAGCAATTATCTCTGAGTTTATGTTTTTCAGTATTACTATTGGAACTGAAACCAGAATCCTAGGACCTGGCTGGTAGTTAAAGTAGGCTCTTGAGAGTCACAAGGTGGGGATGGGGCATGTATCCTGAGCTTCTCCCAGGGTTTCTACTGTCAGTACTTCTTTAAAGTCTAGCATTAGACCTGGAACATAGTTTACATTCTATAAGAACT